CGTAATTTCTATCGTGAAATTTGAGTTGAGTAGTGCTGTATGCTTTTGAAGAAAATTGTGCACCTAATCTCGATCCCAACTTGCTTCGTTTAGTCGCTAGATGGCGCTAAAGTCTTAATATAGTTTTTCCAAGTAATTCTAAAACGCTTTGTCCAATTTAAATGGAGGTTGGTATGCTAGTTCTTGTTTATAAATGTTACTTTTTGACACAGTAACCGAAACAATTTGCATTTATGAATGTGGTGGGGGGGGGGGGAATACCCCCACCCCTAAGCAAACATGCTTATATTTTTTTTTCAGATGACGTTACAACTTCAGCCCTTTTTTTATCTTAAATGTAAGGGACGATTTCAAGTTTTTTTCTCTGTTTTCGTGTAATTAATTATTTTAGATTACAGATTGAGTTGGTCAAAAAAATCGATAATGTCATGATACAATCACCATGGCCATATATCTCCCTTACTATTAGAGATACACCCATTAAACCTCAAATATCTATAAACGTAGGTAAGAGGTATTCTATACATATACTATTAAAAAAGAGAATAAAATCAGTTTATTTTGCGATGTTTGTTTGATTTGATATAAAATTCTGGCCTTTTAAGGAATTCGGAACTTTTATATTTAACATTTATATAATTATATATATCCAAAAATAATAGTTGAAGGTGGGGAGCTAAATTTAAGGAAAAACGCCATACATTTTGTTACTAATATTTCAGAACCAAAATTCTTCAAGTTGAATTACATATCGATTTAAAAAATACAATTATTCATGTCTGGAATCTTTACTTTTCCGGAATAACTGTTAAATGATTTTTTTTAATAAAGTGACTTGATTTACGTAGTTAGAGCAGTTACCTAATTTATAATTTTCTTACACGACTTCATTTTACGTCCATAATTGCAGAAATATGTGCAAATTTTTATGTCTTATACACTTTTTATGCGTAACATTTAATAAGCGACGTGTATCAAGAAATCTAGCATATGGACCGATCAATTGTTGACCGTCTAACCCAATAAAATGGAGAATAGTAGAATTTCGAACGCAAGCTACTTAGAAGTGCTCGGTAGCTAGATACATGGGCGTCCGCAATATTTTTTTCTATACAACATAAATATTAAAAATAGGAACTATGCTTGCTAATAACGATTCTAAAATTTAAATAAATAAATAAATAAAGGCCTTGATTTTAATTAGTTGGTTGTCGATCTTCTTCGTATAAGGTAGGTAGGTATAAGGTAGTTGGTTAGAAATGTAAATCCTTCATTAGGTACTCTTTTATTTTTAACTTTAATAAAAAGCTATGAACTAGAAGTTTTTTATGGCGATATTAAACTTTGTACAGGATGTTCTCAAAAAGCGTGAAAAATCAAATGTTTTTTCTAATGGAATACTATATATTTTAACTACTTTTAATTTTTTGATAGGTTGATTTGGCAATATCCACTGGCCTCCAAATAACCCTGAGTTAAGATCTCTGGATACATTTTTATGGGGTCACTCCCTTAAACGCGGACTTTATGTCGTGAACCATTAATTTAAGACTTTCCTAATAAAATAATAAAAGTAATAAATAGTAGATACGAAAAATATTGCAAGAATAATAAATTAATTAAAAACTAAATTATTTATAGATTCATTCATAGATCAAACTGGACACCAATTTGAACATTTGTGTGTCATGAATGAAAATTTCTGACATTTTATTTACATTTATTTTTTCCCATGTTCAAAAGGGAGAAGAAAAGTGAGCAAGTGCCGCAAATATCCTTCTATACGGTTAAAAAAATATAAAATGTACTGTTGTGTATTGCTGCAATCATCAAGAAACACAGATTTTTAAAAATTCAGAGGTACCTACTTAGAAAGTTTAAAATTTAAAAAAAAACAAATATTTTGTTTGCTACACTCTACAAAGTTCAATATTATCATAAAAAAGTTCCAGTTAATAGCTACAGCTTTCTTATTTAATATTTTTCGTTAACATAAAAATGGAAAAGTTGAGGGAGGGTTGACAATTATAACCAATAACCCTGTACAAAATGTTTTATCATTTCAAATCAAAATCATTTTATTAAAAAACAAGGCAACATATCAAAAATGATAATAAAATGTCAATTGTAAAATTCTGTATAACATTCTATACAGTTGAATTTTAAATAAGATATTGTTTACTATGTAGAAGATGCAATTAGTAGTTCTTAGGCGAAGAAAATTAGGAACAAGAAAGTCAAATTTACATTATATATGCATGGTTTTTTGATAAAACATTGTTGAGGACCACTGACCTCACTAGTACAAACTCCATAAGGGAGCTCATGTCTTCAGTGTTGCCGGTGAACTTGAACTTTTAAACTGTAACTTTTTATATGAAATAAAAAAAAAGTTAAACGAATATCTGCATAATATCTATGACCTATTTGAAAATATATGTACGCATTTAAGATTCACTCGTGTAAACGTAATACATAATTAATTATGGGGGAATTGCGTTTTTACTGAGAAATTCAGAATTAGGAACTTTCATTACATTTTCATATTTGTCACCTCTTATTACGTTGCTAATATGGCAGTGTCAACAACGCCCAATAGACGTGGCTAGTCGTTTAAGTGTAAATCTAGAATGCACTGAATTTAATTGATAATGAAACACTAACGCATATTCTTGTTTATCTGCCAGGATTGTAGAATCAATTGTTTGAATTATCTACAACTGCAAGAAAAATTGTTCTAATACGCAAATTGTCAAATTATGTTTCGAATGCGATAATTTTATTTTTTTTTACATAAAACAGCTGAAAATCAAGAAGTAACGAAATACGCATTAAACATTTATAAAAAATAAATTAAAACGATTGTATTAACGCCATTAGCTTAGTTTGATTGATTTGTATTTAAACAAAGTACGGTTATATTGGGTATCAACTGGTATTAACAATGTTCGTTTTTAATGAATTTGTTAATTCAATTTCTATTTTTGATGAAACGCTTTTATGACGTAACTCTTGACATGCATTATTTGAATTTTTGTTTCTACTACATTTTTGTTGAGCATTTCATTTGATATGAATGAAATGAAAACATTTTGAATGTACAAAACTGATTATCAATCGTTTTCAGTGTATATTCCGTGTCATATTTGTTCGGCATGTAACATAATTTTTAAATCAACTTTAGGTGTAACTCAAACAGTTGAGACTCCTCAGCATATGAAAACGTTAAGGCAATATTTATACACGAATCCAGTTTGAGATGCCATTAACTAAAATTTAGAAATTATATTTTAACTATTAGATTCACATCATAACAGTTTTACCCAAATGGCCCCGTAAATATCTGGAAAAAACAACAGTGGCTCACCTTTAAGGAGCCCTTAGTAGCATTTATCTAATTTTTACTCCTAGAATACTCTGGTTAAATATATACATGCTTTCTCTTATTTTTCGTCGTAGAATGCCGTAGTAAACTACGGCCAGTTAATTTTGTGTTACCCTGTACATTAAATTTTTTGTAAATCCGGGCGTGCAGCCAGTGCGTCGCCAGGCGCGGACTATAGATGGAATCGGCCGTCGTTATGAATTATGCACGCCCATAAAATTAGTTTTAGTACTCCTTCTTTCATAAAAATCGCGTCTATCTTTACGCTGCAGAAATGCACCGGGGTCTCGAATTACACGAGCCGTATCAGATTGCCCCGCACTCTCGATTTAAAAGAAAGTTATAATTTATGATTATGATATAAAGTTGCTGCTTGCGGACTGTTTTGGTCTGTTTTTAACTCCCTTTACTGCCTTAGAAACTCGGCATGGATGGTTGTAAACTTTTACTTGTAATGAAATCGATTCTGTATTAGGAAAAGTAAAAAGCGGTTCTAGGCTTTAACCGATAAAGTAGCTTTCCTTATTTTTTTTATAAATACGACGAGCAAGACACACACCTTAATCATTGAACGGCATCGACTTAATTAAAATTTAAAAAAAAAAACTAGGTTAACTAACCTAATGGAATTAACATGAATAATTAAAAAACAGAATTATTTTAACATTTATAAATATTAATTGAATATTATAACACTACAGGCTACAGGGTACCCTTTTGAATATCGAAAAAGAATTACAAATTCAAATCTTTATTTTCTTTTGCAACATATGAAGAGATATTAGTACATTTTTCTAATTTTTTTTTCTGTTGTATCTTTTTTGTGAAAATGACTTTATTGCTCGTAGCAGTAGTTAAATAATATTTCTCTACTATTTACATAACTCAGACGTAGATGCTAAATAAATTGCTTTTTAACGATCAAGTTGCTGCAAACTAATAATATCTTATGTGTATTGTTGTTTGCCAAATGAAATCTTTATCTTCCTGTTTTTTTTTAATATTATAACATTGTCAATAGGAAGTGTATAAATATAAATATTTGTTCGTTTATTTATATATTTATACGATTTTCAATGCAGTGTACTGAATCCGGCCCTGGTTTTTTACACCATGTACGGTTTCATCAACGGACGTTACAAATTAATCTACATAAATTTGACATTAATAAATGATCATAGACAGATACAATAAAATTTACCAGGAAAACAAATTTTTTTCCCAATTCATTGTATTAATAATAAATGAGAGACATCAATATAATATGATTATATTATAATTAGAAATAAATGACTCGATAGTCGAATAATTCAAAATAGTGAGGAGGAATTTTATTATCCGAGTGATTCTTAATGTGACAAATAGTTATTAACTATTATTTACCTTATTTTCTCTATGAAAACTTATAGATGGTTTTGTTGAAATCGTCATTAATTCTTTGCCAATTCAAAATCTTTTATATATGATAGATACGTCTGGAAAATCGTTTCCTCCAATTAACATACATCTCTGATTTATATTTCGGTATTCAGAAATTATAGAGAAAAAAATTTACGTATTAATAAAATTTGATTTTTTTTTAATTCTCAAAATTCTCATTGGTATATTTTTCCAGATACAAAGTGAGCGTAACAGCGCGCGACGACGTCCCATTCTTTGGTCCAACCTTGCCAACCCCGGCGATATTCCGCCATGGTCCGGAATTTAAGGAATTCCTGCTGACCAAGCTGATAAATGCCGAAAACTCCTGCTACAAAGCAGACAAGTTCGCCAAATTGGAGCTGAGGACGCGTACTTCGCTCCTACAGACGCTTACCGACGAATTGAAACAGAAGACATCAGAGTTCTTGGGAGGCAGCGCCAATCTCATACCGGGAACTCCCAAGAGTGACTCTGGTCCAGGTTCCAGGTTTATAGACACTGTGAAGAAGGCTTGGAGTGCCAGAGTCAAGACCAGTCAGAGTGTAGATAACAATCTGGGTAATAACGGACATGAGAGGTTGTCTAAGAAGAGCAGCCAGCCCACCATTTCTGAATCCACACCATCGGTAAGTATCTTTTTTAAGATTACATAAAAAAACGTATTGCCAAAACAATTTTAATATAACACCTGGGATCTGGGAACAACAACAACCAATTCTGATTCACCTTCTTTGTAGTCTTGTTCAACGTTTTCTCACTCTCGTCTTTGGTCATTTTGTCTTCTTTATCATTTCTTTCTTTGCCTCTTCATTGTCTCCTCACCCTTCTCCTGAATCATTTTCAGTTGTCTCTTTCTTTGTCTCTTCTGTCAGCTACACTGTCTTCTCCCTCACTATCCTGCCATCTTTTTCATGGGTCCTGATTGTTCCTTCATAATCTGCTTCTTAATATTTGCTTATACTACTGTTCCTTTTTGTTCTGCATCATCTTTTTATCGTCTTCTCTTCTGTCTTCTTTTCCGTCTTCTTTGTCACCCTCTTTTTTTCCATCTTGTCTTTGTTACTGCAATCTTCTTACTCATCATCTTTTTCTTTGTTCTTATGATTCTCCTTCACATTCTCTTTCTTTCATTTTCCTCCACTATATCTTCATCATCATCTCCTTTGGGGTTTGTCTTCTTCCTCTTCTTCGCCTCCCTTATTTTTCTGTTTTCTTCCATTCCATCTTTGTTGTCATTATTTACTTTGTCTCCTTCTCTCTCTTCTTTGCCTACGTCATTCCTTCCTTCTTTGTCATCTTTTTCTTTATATCCTTGTGTTCCTTCTTCGTGACCTTTGTGTTCTTCTTTTCTTCTGTTTCTTGATATTGTTCTTTTTCTTCTGCTTCTTAATCTTGTTCTTTTTATTCCGTTTGCTGATTTTGTCCTGCTTCTTCGTCTGGTTCTTCTTCTTCTCCATCATCATCTTGTGGAAATCTGCTTCATATTTTTTTTATGCTGCTTTGTGTTCTTCTTGTTCTGCTTCTTGATGTTTTATTAGTTTTTCTTTATATCTATTTCCAGCTTCTTGTTCTTAAAGTTTCTTGTTGCTCTGCTTATTCTTCTAGTTCTTTCTTATCATTCCTCTTTCTTATTGTACGTCCTCATCTACCTATTTTTCATCTATATGTTCTTCACTAGAAGTGTGGTTTACTTGTTTTTCTTCCTCTTTCCCTGTCCTTAGCCTCTTTTCTCTTCCTTCATCTAACAGTGTTTTGGTAGATATAAGAAGTACGACTGATCTAAGCATAATACATTACCCTTATTTTTCTCTTAATTTTTCAGAGCGGAAGATCAATATCGAAGAGCTCCATTGTCTCAAACGGGAAGAAAAGCGGAAGCACCAACTCATCCACTGCATCTTCCCCAGATCTGACAGCCCATGCACATTCACGGCCACCTCTATCTGAAGCAAGTGACGACTCGTCGCTTACTAGCGAGGACTTGGAACACTTAGCTGGAGGCTACATAGACAGTGACACGGGTCTGGAAAGCATGTCTAGTGCCGAGACTGCCGCAAAGGCTTGCAGCGTGTGCCAGGACAGACCTGGTAGCACCACCGGACCAAGCACCGAAGCCCTCATCCAGGAAGTAACGAGGTTGAAGTGTGACAAGTTGGACTTGCTACGACAGAATGTGGTAAGTTTGATACTCAGTAGTATAATTCAGTGGTTCCCGAAATGTGGGTACAAAATTTTACAAAATATTAACATTAACATGAATTTAAATTAAATTCTTTAAAAAGTTCTGAGAAACCCAATGAGTTTTTTTATACAGATGTATACAAAGGTTACTCTCGGATTTTTTTATTATTACTGCGTGTAGTATTAGAGAAACAATATTTTTTTGCTTGTTTTTGGAAAACTAATTTCTTAAATCTACAGACTATTTGGAATAATAGTCGTCATTTTTCAATTTCAAATTATTTTATTTTTATTTTAACATCTTGTCAGTAAATAATTGTCTAAAATATATTTAGAATTTAAGCCAAATGGATTGTTCTTAATTACCTTTCATCATCGATCGATCTTAAATATTTTCATTATTTCAAATGGAAACCAAGGTGGTTAAAAAATGACCCTTCAGTTTAGGGCAATTACAAATTTATACAGTATGTTTTGTAAGAAAGTACTATAAATTCAGAGGCTAATTAGACATACAAAAATTATAAGATTTTCATGTTATTTTGTCTGTATATAAATCATGGGCCTTTAGTTTTTGAGTTGGGGTCTATTTTTTAATTAATAATAAAAAGTTATGTTAGTAGGTGTATTAAAATGGGATATAAACAATTTTTTTGCAGATCGATAATTTATTAAACACAGAAAATTGTATTAAAGTAACTTGATCTAAATCCAGTTATTTCAATCCAAGTAGGCTATACTTGAGGGCTCATTTGTTTCTGAACACTCGGTACACTAAGGAAGCTGTTTGACTTTGTGGTCTCCACACAAGTTGAGATTTTCTCAAAAACTGTGCATTTTCACAATTTCAACAAAAGTACCACTTTTAAATATAAAAATAAATTAAACTTTGCATTGATATACAACCTACGTTAAAAATCTAACTTTAAAAAAGTTGTGTCATAAAATGTTGCTGAATAAGACTCGTAGTTAGGATGTGGTCAAAAACTTAAGTAAACCGAAAAACTATGACTAAAATTTAATTTTAATAAACTACCTCTAAAGTCCAAGTATCTATTAATTATGTCCCTGAATGTTTACTACCTTTTTCAAAACCTTTTCAAAAACACCCTGTAATAACATGCTTATATTCGCAGAGAATATTGTGGCTTTTGACAAGTTTTTATTACCAGATTGGCAAAAACATAACTTCATAAAGCTTATGTTAAAATACTTTGAAAAGATGAATGTCTACGTATACAGGGTGATTAAGAACTTATCCAAAAAAAAAATTGTATGTACTCTTACAAATACAATTTCGTAAAGAAAAAATCAAAAAGGACCGTTTGAAAATGATTTAAAAATATACTTCTGCACGGCACTGGAAACTGGTGCACTGTAATACCTGACCTCGTACAATGCGACCGCCTCAGCGGCAAAGTGTGATAAAAATGGACAAAAATTTGAACGAATTTCGCATCAAAAGAATATGTAATTAGAATTTTATAGCACTTATTTTATATAAGCAAATTCAACTACTTTTGCCGCTATTGTTATTATTAATAAAATTAATTTGTGATTTTAATTAATAAAATAATTTGCCTACCTGATGTTACAACAATTGTTCAAAATTTTGTCTACCGACGTGTAAACGCATTTGGTTCCGCTTTACTCAGTTTCTACGAACTAATACAAATGTTGTCCTGCTTCACCTTAACACAAATGTTTCACCATAATACAAATGTTGTCTTGCAAGCCATTTTTGATACTAACTAACTACTAAAAAAACTATTGTAAACACTATTGCAATGACAATCAAAATCGAATTTCTGTATTCGAAGTCGCAGATACCACATGGTTCACACGCGTATTGTGAATGACGCTAAAGACTACAGCTGTCCGGCTATGTAATGCTTGCTAGTACTACAACTTCAATAATTTTTTTCTCAGAAACTATACGGATTTTACAATTTTTTTTTATGATATTTCTCATGTCACATCTACTCCCAAATTTTTTTGAATAAGTTGTGAATCATCCTGTATAACATACTATACCTATATGTGTGCTTGTACTTAATGTTTCATTTAAAAGTACTATAAATTTAAATCGCAACTTTAAAAACTTTGAAAACCACTGTTACAACTGATTGTTACCATTAGTATTAACTGTCACTCTAAAAATGTGCATTTCTTTATTTCAGAATTGTCAGAGGGACATAAAAAGATTAAGAGAGAAGGAACTGGGTCTTCAAGGTGACCTGGCAGTGGCCACGAAGGAAATAATTCGATTGAGAGAACTTCTAAAAGATTACAGCCCAAATGGTGAAAGATCTCCAATGTAAAATCCTCCTCACACTCTAAGTTCTTTCTGATTTGTATTATTTGTATTATTTTCTCTTTCAACTTGTATGCTTCTTATTCTTATTTCATTTTACAAGTATTACTTCAGTTCTCTCTCTCTTCGTATAAATTTAGAAGTTTGGTTGTTATAGTAGTTATAGGTAATTATTGTTTTAATATTTAAAATATATAATTACTACTATTAAACACAATAGTTAGAAGAAATCTGTACGTAAAAATGTCAATTAGATGTTTGCACATACATACACCCACACACCACAGCATATTAAAAATACAAAAGGTTCACATCACACTCTTGACTACTGAATTCTTTATTTTTGTTTGTGATATTTTTTTGTACTTTTATAAATTTATTTTCTTCAAGGATTTTATGTTTAGTTCTTAGATATTTATTAATGTATAATGAAAACTGTATATTATTAAATACAAACTTTACCAACCTAATTATACCAAAGTTAACATTCCCCAAAAATTCTGTTTCAGAAAAATTAATTATTTACTAAGTGTATATAACAAAGTATTTATTAGCTTTTAAGTTTTTTTTGTATTTAGAAGAAAAAACTTAGTTTGTGCAGATATTGTTATAGATTCTTTATTTTTACTTTGTTCATATATTTTTAAGTTTGTACAACTGCAATATGTATTACTAAAGTTTAGTACGAATGTATTATGTAGATTTTGTGTACATAAACTTTCCTCACTCTAAATTCTCCCACCCCACATGTTCCCAAAGTGTTTTCCGAAAGAAATTTCTCATCTCCGAAAGGGGAGGTGATTATTTACACAAAAATTTGGTCGAGCCGTGCAATTCTCGACAGAGTTTAATGCACTATATGTGTACTATTTAATAGATAATATATAACCACTATTCTTTATTCTGAAGAAGCTTTTATTATTGTTTAAGTACCTAATTATCTAAGTGTTCTTTTGTACAAGTTATATGATTGTTTTTTATGTACCTTGATTTGTATTTGACAATATTTTTTGCTGCATCAAAATCTAATAAAATGTCTATTACCTACTGTGAGTCGTCTTTTTTACTCATGCCCATACCCTGATAGTGATCGTCTGCCTTAGCGGTCAGGAAGATTAAGGCGTTAGCGGGTGACTAAAGACGATAAATTTCACGACGAAAAAAAGAATAAGATTCAAACACAACAGTTGCAGGACCATTTAATGTTTATTGAAATAAAACTGTAATAAAATTGGCAGATTGTTTCCTGAAAGAAAGTGTTGGCAGATCGCTTCAAAATGGTGAAAATTTTTTAGAAAAAATTATATAGTTCACAGATAAAAATTATTCATCGCTATTGTTTATACCCTTAAAAAACCATATACAAAAAAGCGTACTGAAAAGTAGTGATGGGAGAATTCGAATTCAAGAATCGATATGCATTCGATTCTTAAAAGTTCTCGCTGTTCTCGAGAACTTTTATGCGGACATTTGAATACTTGCAAGTTGCAAATTCATGATGAGGTTTCGAGTATCGGGCAGATAGATGGACTAGACACTAGGCGGATGTGCTTTAGAGTGCTTTACTTATTTATTTTTTTAAATAAAATCCCAAACTAATGACTTGCAGCTAGGTTTCATTAATTACATTAATATTTAATAACGGAAAATGCTCCGTAAAACAAACCACATCTCTCGTTCGTTGCGAGGCTTACCTTAATTACTAACTGCTAAGCTACTGTCGATGCGAGTACGAGAACAGAATTGAGTTATGCGAAATAAGAATATCCCGATTATGCATTAGAATTCACATCGTGTCGCCAACATACACCGATTCTGCATTGCCGCTGTTCTCGAGTCCCTGTGTTCTCGGATACTCATTCGGTCTCGGTGGGTCTAGTCTTCTGTCTGGTACTCGATTCTTGGTTCTCGGTCTCGGTCTCGATCTCGGATAATCATTCGATTTTTAAAAGTATTTGAGAACCGAGTTCTCGATGCTTAAAAATACTCGATTCTGCCCATCACTACTAAAAAGTGAAAAATAACTTCAAGGCAGACTGCAATAAAGAGTTCAAGTGGTGTAGTTGTTATGATTTCAGTTGAAACCTGTGAATCTTGAAGCACATGACCGTCTGCACTTCTCTTAAAAGAGTGACCGCAAAATAGTCATTTTTCCGCCTGTTTTTGAGACTGACAGAGGCGACAGGGAAAATCCTAAAAGTATTCTAAAAATACCCAAACGCTCCTCATGAAAAATGCATATGAGCATCACTTTCAGTTTTTCGAAAATTTTCAAAAATCGCCCTTATTTAGAGGTTGAAAATATAAAATAAGTGAACAAATTAAGAATCGTTGTAAAACCCCAAATATTTCCATGTTGTTATCAAAATAATATTATAAACGTGAAAATATCAAATTTCGTATTTGATACGGTCTTGTCCGGATTGAAAATCAACCCATAATATCCCTAAAGGGGTGAAGTCATCCCCTAAACGCCTAAAAATTAAGTTACAATTTTTTTTCTTTTTCTTTTATACGTGATAATTGAACCGTTAATAACCCAGAATCACTAGATCCGAAGGAAAATACCCCTAAATGAGGGTAAAACCACCCTTAAGTTCAACCATTGAATTGTGGGTTATTAACGGTTGATACAATTATCACGTAAAAAAGAAAAAGAAAAAAATTGTAACTTAATATATTTTTTTTGCATTTTTAGGTGTTTAGGGAATGATTTTACCCCTTTAAGGATATTAAGGGTTGATTTTCAATCTGGACAGGACCATATCAAATACGAAATTAGATATTTTCACGTTCATAATATTATTTTGATAACAACATAGAAATATTTGGGGTGTTACAACTGTTGATGACTCTTAATTTGTACACTTTTTTTGTTTTTTCAACCCCTAAATAAGAGTAATATTCGAAAATTTTCGAAAAACTGAAAGTGACGCTCATTTTCATTTTTCATGACAAGTTTTTTGATACTTTTAGAATATTTTTAAGATTTGTCAAAGTCTCAAAAACAGGCGGATTTTGCGGTCATTCTTTCTTCCTCTGCTTTGGCTATGATCTGTTCCGTAATTTATACTCGAACAGCAATTCGGTGCGTCCGGTACTGGCAGACCAATCCGCCTGATGTAGAATCGGCTACGGCGCACTGGTCGTCAAAGCAAACCTGCATTGGTGCACTAGGTCGTAAACCGTGGTTCACTTGGCTTTGTCAGTGCAGTGCTTGGCGTGGTATGTTGTTGGTATAATACGATATTATTATTTGTTCATATCGTAACCAGTAAAGGATAATAGTTATTAAAATAAATATTATATGTAATTATCTTTGTTTTTGTCGATAGCGTCGAAACAAGCTCAGTTTAAAAACAAAGATTTACAAGTACAAAGTCAACGTATTATTTTCAATAGTTATGAATGAATGCATGATTGATTGAAAAGAGAATATAGTGAACAATGTGATAAAGAAATTAGGACACGGATTAGCGAATTAACTAATATATCAAAAGCGACAATTTATCGCGTAATTAAATAAGGAGACATTATTGATCGCGATACAAAGAGGAAACGGAGAAATACTAAATTAAAGAATACTTACGATATTACCAGAGATGTAATACTGTGTACAATTTATAATATGTATAAAGAAAATAAAGATCCTACTTTAAACATGATTCGAGATAAATTTAATAAGAAATCTATCCCAAGAATTTACATATAGCAAAATTTTTCTGGACACCTATGGATTCCATAGAATTTATGAGTTAAGTGTTTTTAACTTAAATCGTAACAACTATAACTAGTGATTTTAGCATACGCTCTTTTTCGCAGTCTGCCTGGATGTTATCTTTCTGGTACGCTATATTCTAACAATATACACTGATCTTACATAACGGTGTATCATTTCTCTTTGACAAGGAGATATTGAAGAAGCACCAAAATTCTGTACTTTTATTTGGAATGGTTCCTAAATGTCGCTAACGTTATAATTTTTTAAAAACATCAAAAATCGAGTCTTGTTAATGGGATGGGAAAGTATTGTCTGGAAACATATCACCTAGTTCAGCAAATGCTTGAAATTCTACATTATTGGTTGATAATTTTAATGGTCGCTGTTTTCCTTATTGATAAAATGCTGGATGAAAATCACATACAATGCATGAAATCATGTTAAAGGTTTAGAAAATAATTTGTTTTGCTTTTAATAACTAATTATTTAAATTGATCTTTCAGCGTAATTTAATTTTTCAGTGAAAAAAATTATAAGATTTATGGAAAAAAATTAGTCGTGGTAATTGTGTATACCTTTAAAAAACAGTATGCAAAAAGGCAGGCTGCAATAAACAGCGCAAGTGGTAGCTCGAGTGATTTCACTGTGCGCTGTTTATCACAGTCTGCCTGGATGTTATCTTTTACTTTTCTGTCTATTTATTTGCATATCATTTTTCAAGGGTATAAACAATAACCACGAATAATTTTTATCCATCAATATTAAAAAAATTTTCACCGAAAAATTTTCACCCCATTGGTGAAAAGTGCTGGGGTCTGCCAACACATTCTCTTCCAGTAAACAGTCTACCAATTTTATTACATTTTTGTTTCAATAAACATTAAATTAATTATAGAAAATTAAGATTATTGTCAAGTTAATAATAATCCTATTTCCTTCAATTTTTATTCTTGAATCTTATTCTTTATTTGGCGTGAAATGTACTGTCTTTGGCTGCTGCCGCCGCCTTAATCTTTCTGACTGCTCAGGCAGGTGATTTAGTGTTCCACTAAACGAAGAACCTTCTAAGGTAGAGACTTTTTGCGATGCTTATAGATGAAATTTTTTTGTAGCTAGCTCACCGTCTATCAACAAGTGAAGTTGATATTTGTGTAATGCTTAGTGTTACAAATATAAAATACAACAGTAATATCAAGAAATTTTAAGAAACACAATACAAAAGTAGGTTTCGACGATGCTGTCAATATTAATACATACTCTTTAACCTTTGGATGTAAAATGTACAATTATTAGAGAGATTTAGAATCCTTTATTTGAGAATCTCGTTAACGTTATACAGGGTATAACATTAAGTGGTCATTAGTTTTTTAAGGGCAACAGTACTATGTGTTCCCCCTGAACAAGAATCTGAAATTCTCCTTTTTTTAAATCAAATACTCGCCACTGGGCGGCGTAAACCGAGGCACCCGGAATTTGCTTATGAGTGCACTATCAGCGTTGCCAGTTATTTTTAAATCAATCTACATTGTGGGAAGTAGCCACACAGTAACAATGAAAAATAATTTAGTAAAATAGATTGCTTTTGTATAACTTAGCGACGTGTCATTTTAAAGTCACCATATTTCTTTGATATCACTGTTGTCGAACATTAGAAAAATATTCTATTGTTTCTAAACAACAATTAAATTTTTACAGGATTTATAAAATATTAACTAATATTGGTACATAGATACCCACATTAATAATTTGTTTAAATCAACTGTTAGACAGCGAAACTAATGAAAAATAATTTAATGAAAACAGATTGCTTTAGTAATAGCAACAATTAAAGTCACCATATTCGTTTGTTTTTTTAAACGGCTGCTAGACCGATTAATCACCACTTAAGAGTTTGCCAGACTTGATTTTTTTTGAACACTATACAGTGTGTCCCCGGAACCAAAACAAAATTTTTGAGACTTTCGATCAAGATTTTCTTCCAAAAAGTAAAGACCAATTATTTTATGATACATACACCAGACATTGGGACCGCCTAGCCGGTTGTCTTGGCCGGTGGATTTCGATCTGCCGAGGTAAGCATCACGGACGCAGGCTGGAATTTGGATGGGTGGCCTAAGACAGGCTCGGGGACGTGGCTGTGGCTGCCTACCAGAGACCTGGGTCGCTCAACATTTGCCGCATGCGTGTGGTCCCCGATAAATGGTAAAGAGAACAGAGCAAAGAAAATCTCTGTAATTCAAGACCATGCTATCATACATAAACTGTACGAGACTTTGCCACCAAGCCACCCGTGTAGTAAATAGGATGATTTGAAGAAAAGTACTCGAGTAGTGAAGGAGGGTGTACAAGGGGACATACATACATACATACATACATACATACATACATACATACATACATACATACATACATACATACATACATACACCAGACATTTACTTTTTAAAATTTTTGACTATTGTCAATTGAAATTGTGGATTATCCTTAGCTCAGTATCTATAATTTTGAAAGGAAACTACACCATTAGTTGGAAATGTTTTCAGTCAGTTCCAGACCCATTGTTAAACAAAAGTCCAAACGACGACCATCAAGCAACTTATTATTATAACTGGTTTCAATGAATAGATTTTGTTGTATACTAAAATTCTTTGATTATGAGATCTGCTAATAGGTATCTATGGTTTCTGACTGAATTTTCCTTAGTGACAACAGTAGCATCATTGTATTCTTTTTTTTATCTTTTTAATATTCTTTACATCACTAGTGGTATCGAATTTTATAATTAGCTTGCGAACTGCTCTATGAGTTACAGCTACATCTGGATACTTTTTATTTAAAATTTGTATTGCATATCGATATGAAACATTACAGATTCCATAACATTTCACAAGAAAAATTCGTTGCTTCAGGGTTAGCATTATTAATAAAAATTATTCGGTGGGCAGTTAATAATAGTTATTTATGTACCTAGGGAATTATAAGGGCCTTAATTACCGATGGCAAAGTTTGCGTCCCGAGGGCGTCCCGCCCGAGGGACAGCAATTGCCTGAGGTTATTAAGGCTCATTAATTCCCGTGGTACATAGATAATTTTATTTCTGACCGATTTCAATAAAATATTGTTTATTTTTAAAACGGAAAAAATGTACCAATTTATTACCTTCCCAGTATATTTGAATCAGGTACCATTGATTATAAGAGTTTTGTTGTTGCTAGGTTGTTGCTATGTTACGTGTTTATAAACAGAATTGTTACTTGCTTATAAACAGTACTTTGTTATCAAGCTGTGTTTGCGTTAAAAACGTGTTTTCTACCCCAAATATAATGGAGCAGATTTTGAAAAAAGCTGAAAAAGCAAGAGAATCATTAATTCCATCGAAAAGTGAAGCCGTATACCAAAAAGAATACAAGATATATCTGGAGTGGCTGACACGGAATAATGTTATGCCAAAAGATGCCACTGAAACTGTATTACTGGCATATTTTCAAGAATTGGTAAGGAATATTCTATGTTTTTCGGTAGATTTGGTAGTAATTTTGTTTATTCGTTGCAGTCAGAAACGTATAGTCCGAATTCTTTATGGACTAAATGGTCAATGCTAAAATCGAAGGTGAATATACATGAGAAACGAGATATCGCCAAGTTCAATGAACTAGAGGCTTTTTTGAAACGGAAGAGTAAGAGTTATAAGCCGAAAAAGTCTGCTGTTTTATCTCCTAATGATGTTATCAGATTTCTAAAGAACGCTCCTAATGAAATTCATTTACTGCATAAGGTAATTTTTTTCTTATTTTCCCTTTTTTTGTGTGTATTTATTTCCTTTTTTTGTTTTAGGTTGTTTTGATTATGGGTTATTTTGGAGGATGCAGAAGTCAGGAACTTTTGAATATGAAGATATCGGATATAGAGGACCGGGATTCCGTTATGGTAGTGAACGTACCGGAAAGTAAAACTGGTGTATCGAAGAAATTTACAGTTGTGGATGAAAAAGAGTTCTCTGCTTTGCCTTTATTAAGACTTTATATGTCTTTACGTCCTAAAGGTATTGAACGATTTTTTTTGCGCTTCCAACAAAATAAATGTACATCTCAGCCAATTGGAAAAAACATGTTTGGGAAAATTCCCAGCAAAATCGCAATGTATTTAGGATTGCCAAACCCATCTTCCTATACGGGACATTGCCTTCGTCGCACTTCTGCTACTGCTCTAGCTAATGCAGGAGCAACTATGACTAACTTAAAAAGACACGGAGGTTGGAAAAGTTCCACGGTGGCGGAGGGGTATCTGGAGGATAGCATCGAATTGAGAAATAAAACGGCGCGTATGTTGTCTACTTTGCCATTAGAAGAGGCAGGTACCTCGACTGTAGTGAACAGAAGCTCCAGCCATACAAAAGAAGAAATTGTTTCCAGTGGCGGTAGTAATTTTCAGGGAACATTTCAAAATTGTACATTTATTATTTGTAATGACGCAAATAAATAAAATATGGTTCAGTTTTCATTTCATAAATATATACACATATATGTATATTAGCATTTTTTATTTTATTTTTACTTGTGAAAGGTAGAGGGAATTATAGAATCTATAATGTCCCAAGGGAGTTATGACTCTCTTTATTGATAGCGTAACTATGACGATATAAGCTTATAATATCCCGGTCAGAAATAAAAATAAATATGTTGACTTTGACATTGATAACGGAATATCTATGGTAATTATATGGTATGTATGATAATTCAAAAATGCGGCGTCTTTTTATTTGCAAAATGTTATTATTGTTCTTTTCTGAGTAAACCCTGTATTTAAGCCTTTCTTGTGTTCTCCAATAACTCTGTTAAATACAGGGTGTCCCGAAATTAATGCGACAAAATTTTATCATAGATTCTTATGACAAAATTTTTCTTTTTTCTTTTTGCCAAGTGGCCCCCTCTTTCTTTTTTATATCACAGAACCCTGTTGTACGAGAATCACTAAATTTGATATACAGGGGTTTTAGGACATGTGGAATCTAATCCTACGCTTTTTGGCGGGGAACCCCCTTAAGACACTTTTTCGTGAGCCCCCATGTCTTTGGATCCAAAAAATTTTGGTCGTGAATTTGAATTTCTTATAAATATTATTATTCTTATTATTAGTTAGCTAGAAAGCCATTGAATTTATAAACTTTTTGCCTCGATATTTTTTTCGTAAAACGCAATGTTTTTGAGGAAAATGGCGAATCACGATGTGCATTCGATCACATTTTGACATTTTTCTCGAAAACATTGCGTTTTACGAAAAAGTATCAAGAGACAAAAAGTTTCTAAATTTAATGGTTTTCCAGTGGACTAATTAATTTTTAAGAAATTTGAATATGCAACCAATTTTTTTGGCTCTAAAGACAAGGAGGCCCACGAAAAATTGTCTTAAGGGGGTTCCCCGCCAAAAAACGTAGCATTACCAGATTACACACGTCATAAAACCCCAGGGTACCAAATTTAGTGATTCTCGTACAAGAGGGTTCTGAGATATAAAAAAAGATTATTCTTAGGGGCGGATTTTGGGGGGGCTGTAGCTTCGAAATAAGGGACCACTTGACAAAAATAAAAAATACGGGTTCCCTAAATTTGTCTTAAAAATCTGTGACCAAATTTTGTTGTATTAATTTCGGGACACCCTGTATAGAGTAAAAACAAAAATTAAGGACACTGCTTGGGGAAAATGTCACATTTTGAAATTTTTTGGACGCCCTGTATGTTTTGCTACATATTTGATTACTGCCCATGGCTTTCCAAGATCATCAAGAATAACTTTTTCTCGAAAAATCAACAACAAAACAGTTTGCAAGGGTGCGATAAGTACACCATTAGTGGACACTGTAAGTACATATATTGTTTATAAAAAAAATTTTCATAAATAATGATTTCAGCCAAACTATACTTCATTTTTTCGACAAGGTTTCCCGATTTCCAGGCCCATTTAGAACCGCCAAAAATTAGTCAGACCAATTTTTTTATGCAATTTAGAATGTCAAAAATACATACAAAATATTTCAGTGATAATGATTTCAGTTGAAGATTCATATTTCTTTATTTCCCACTTTCTAACGGAACCATGCACATGGGCGTAGCCCTTTGCTGCATGCTGCAAGTTTCAAAAATTACGTTATTATTACTGGACGCATTTTCCATCCAGTTTAGTTTTGAAATTTTGTCGAAAGTACCTAAATAGATAATGAAAATGGCCATAATTTTATGTCGCGAGCTCCCGGACTATAACGACAAGTCTGAAAAACCAATGGCGTAATAGTTTTACATTCTGATAGATTCAACATGCGATATGGCCCGAAAAAAGATTGCTCAATTATTTTCTCGGATTATTCATAATTATATTTAAGTGCCTAAAATCGTATATTTAGAAGAAAAATAATATGAACCTTTTTGCAAAACGAGTTATATTACGTTTAATGAAGTGTATGGTAACGTTAAAAAATACCTATTTAAAAAATGAATAAATCGAAAATGGTTCGCTTTTCGAATAAATGAGTTTCTTTTTTTATTAGAAAAGTTCTTACAAGTACGGATCGACCTCTCATCAAAATGACACCCGGTATCTTTTGATTATAATTAGAAAATAAATCATTAGCGTGTTTATTAAATTTTATTATATTGCATCAAAACCTCTTCAGAAATATTTTAGAAGAGATATATTTTTTTAACAAAACCCTGTATCTAGGAAGTTATCAAATTGTAGACCCATTTTTTAGCTTGAATCATCAGAAGATTTATTGACGTAGGTACATAAAAACTAATATAGAAAAGTGTCGTTTTCCAAACTCTATCCCAACAATTTAAGAGAAAATTTCAATTTTTGCTTACCTTTCTTGCGACGTCAAGTGGGTATAAACTTCAAAAAGTCCAAATCTTCTATAATGGGTATAATCTCATACAATAAACACACACGCACACAAACACAGTACACAATTTTTACACAAGCAGCAAATTTTTCCTTAGAAGAAAATATCGGAATCGTCTCAAACGCCATATGCCACAAGCGATTAACACGATTACACTGACCGAAAAACGTTGTTCCATACGTTTTCGCGCCCTTTTTTTGCTTACCCTTTAGTCGTTATAAGAACCGCTCGGGCAGGTTTTTATTGAATTGGTAATCTGTACTTTAGTACAGAGTTGCATGATTTGATTATACATTATCTACATAATTTGTTAATTAAAGACATAATAATAAGGTTCATCAGGTAGTAGGTAAATTAATTAAGATTACTTTGATTATTTTTCGTATCCAAATATAGTTTTTCAGTTTCGAATCGAATGGCATGGAATGAGATTTTTCTATAACGTCTTTTCGCAAATTTTCTCTCACTTTTTGCCAACCCAATATGCTCATGCAGGTTCCAATTCAATCCAGGGTCATTTTAATAAAATAGAAACATTGATGCATAATAACTTGTAACCAATACTAGACTAAATTTTTATAATGTACATCAAAAATTAATATCAGAGTTCATATAAACATATGTCTGCAAAGAAACAAGATGTTAAAATAAAAAAAATTAATTCTTCATATATCTGGATTTGTATCAAGGTTTATTCATATCTATGTATCAGCACATCTATATTTTTTTTATCCACTAGTGGAATAAAAGTAACTTTATTTCACTAGTAGAATAATGAAAAATAATAAACCTATAATAAATCAAATTTAATTTATTTACTTATTAACATTAACATTTACATTTATAGTAGACATTTCGTTTTTTGTTTTATCACATTTAACTTCCTTTCCGTTAATAACAACCCTTGTAGCATTATTGCCGGCATTTTCGGATCGCATAACATCTGCCGAAGTTTGTGAAGAATTTGCACAAGTTATGGAT